TAGAAAATAGAAAGCTGAAAAATAAAATATTAAGTGTATCTTCAAAGGCTCATGTTTGAAATCGCTAAAGTCTGAAATCAGAAATGAGGGAAAGGGAAATATTTCCCAAAGGAACAGAAAACAGAAAGATGATTTTAGCCCCCAAAATGCCATATGAAGAATTAAAAGACAAAAAAAAAAAAAAAAACCTCCTGTCTAAAATCACAGAAATGTCATTTGTGTTATTCTGTAGACAGCCAGCTGAGTTGATTAGTTATTTAAAGTCTGTTTCAACTCCAACCCGGAAAAACTTCCAGCAACTTTTAAAGCCTAATGACACATCTTCCCTGACCCACTGTCCTGGACCCTTAGCAACTCCCCGCTCAGGGACCCTGCCTCCTGAAGGCTGGGGTAACCGATAGCCAAGAGCTGAGTCTGGAGAAATGGACAGAGTTAGGCTATTCGAAATGGCCAGTATTACACAGAGAGAGAAAGATTTATTTGTCCTGTCTGCGTTTCACTTTGAGATGGGTCTGGAAAGGATAATTTTCCCTTATCCAGTAAGATCTGAAACACCAAAACCTCCACTATTCCTTCAAGAGAGGACCAGATGGAAGCTTCTGTCAGGGACCAAGGGGAAATGGAGGTGGGAAAGGGAGGGCAACATCTAGGAGACCATTGAGAGAGGAGAGGGGGAGAAGGGCGGGAGACCAGAGAGAAGCAACTCCTTGACACCCATCCTGACTGGAGGGGAAAAAGTAAGGAATATTTCACACCACCTCCGCCCTCTGTGCACGGGCTTGAGCGTCAAAGTTTTATTTCTGGTGGTGAACTGTTTCTTCCTGTCCTTCCAAGTTTTAAGGGCATAGCTAAGGGGTTGCATGTCCCCACAACAACGTGCTCTTTGCACAAGTAGATAGTGCTACTTATTCATCCTCAGGGTACATGCTGTTTTTTTTTATTCACGGGGATAGTTTTATACTAATCCTGCCACTCCGTTTCCTTGGACTCTGTGGTGACCAGCTGGTCCCATGGGCAGGCAGCTGGTGGGACAGCTAATTGGCCAGCAGTGGCAATGAGACTGTGATCTCCACCTCACAGCCCGAGTGCTCAATCATCAACTGAGCGTCGTGGTGGGCTTGAGCCACTCAGAACTGGGCAGTCAGGGCACTAGCACGATTAGTTGTGAAAAGTCATGCTGCTACAGGTCTTCACTACCCTCAATTTTTTTATCCATAAAATGGGAATAATCATTGCTCTCTCGTGGTGTTTTTGAGAGGATTAGACAAGCCAAAGCACATATTTACCTCAGTAGCCACATAAATAAACACTTCCTGGCACCCCTGGCAAAAATAAATAAATAAATAAAAATAAAAATAAAAAATAACATGATGCCTTTCCTTCAGATGTAATTCTTAGGTGCGCCCACCTGGGCCAGGAAGGGGAAATAGCCGGCCACACTCCGGCATTAAGCCGTGGCCAACAGAAAGCCTCCTTCACATCAGTGCGTGTGAAGAGATGTGCAGGCGCTTATGGGAAGCCTTACACAGAATTTGAAGCAATCAGAAAATATCTCTCTCCTATTGCATCCCAGAGAATCCTGAGAATGTCTGTGTTTAGTAAATCTTTTGTCTGACTTCTAGTTTGAGTCCAAGTTGAAACCTATCTCTTTGTTTCTCGGCTAGTGGTCTATATCTGTTAAAGTTTTCTTCCTTTTGAATGATATAATGGTCTCTTACATTAGGCCAGTGTCAGGGACCTGAAATACAAACATATCCTTTTTCCAACTGGTGGATAGCCTGGCCTTCATTCTCAATTTCTTTAACCATGTTAAAGTTTCTCATACTCTGATACATTTCACAAGACTTTCAGGGAATGCTAAGAACTTTCTCTGCAGAGATAAAAATAATGACACTGAGTCATTTCCTTTGTTGCTCTTTGAAATCCCATATAAAGATATCTACTAAGTATACCTTGCCTGGTCTAAGCAAGAATGCTTGCTTAACGTGGGTTAATGCTGGTGACATTAGTCACTGTTAATTGCTCAAGAGTTGAGATCAGGTTGGCAATCACTGAGTTCATCTGTAAAAAAAAAAAAATGACTATAGTCATATTAAGGAATAAAAGGCTCAATGGCTACCAGATGAGTATTTCATAGTAACATATACTGATGGAGAACTCTGAAAATGCAGGGGGCAGGCAGTTTGGAGTTCTTAATTGTGTTGACTTTACCTTACAATTGGTTATTGTTTTCCATTTATGAGTTTCTTCTTCTTCTCCTTTTTTCAATCTTTTAATACAGTCTGTCCTATTCCAAATTCTCAGCTTGTCTGAATTTTAAGTAGAATTGGTGATTTGAATGAAACCTTACTTTTTGGAAATGGACTTTATTTGAAAAAGATTTTCTTATGAGTTTTTTCTACACTGGCTTTCGTTTAGTTAGAAAAGAGAAAAAGCTGCACAGAGAATTTGGAGGTAAGTACCTCTTTTAGGATAACCCTCTCTCTTCGTCTCTTGGGGAGCTCTTCTAGGGCTGTGCTCTCTGGAGGAAGCAAGACTCTGGAAGCAGGTTTTCATAACTTCAAGCATTAGGTAATTATACTTTAACCTACACCCAGGGCATCTGACCTTCCAAGTTTGTACTTTGCCAACTGCAAGGAGAAACTGCTGAAATACATCGAGTTATCATAACAGACAGGGCCATATGGAAAGTGCTGGAAAATTCCTCCTTAGACTATAATTGCCTTGATGGGCAGAAATCCTGCCTTCTATTCCTCTTTGGACTGTGTATGGCCCACAGTGCTTGAGGCAGTGTTCAGGATTTATTGTCCAAGGCTTCAAAGCAAGATTAAAATGGGGCATTGAAATTAACTCTGCTTGCCTGAAGCAACCAATTATATTTTATTTCATTTTATTTATAGGGTCATGTTCCTAAATCCCTGAGTACATAGTGTGTACACAGGTTGATAATATTAAAAAACAAAACAAAACAAAACAAAAAAACAACCCAGAAACAGTTACATGGTTTGTTTGTGGTCAGGTGGATGGAATTGCCTAATGGATGCATCGTTCCCTTCTAATTGTGTTTTTGGTGCCACAGAGAGCATTTGAGCAGAGAAGCCAGCAAGCTTCTATTCTGCAGCATCATGGTTCAGGTTCAAGCTCGGGAGCCAGACTGCCTGCTCCATAATTTCTTAGCATCTCTGTGCCTCAGCTTTCCTGTCTATAAAAAGTGTACCTTACCCATCAGGTTGTTATGAGGATTACATAAATTAATACATATACATTTTAAAGTGCTTCAAATTGCGCCTCACACACAGGAAGCACCATATAACTCTTAGCTGTGAATATCACTTTTAAATTTTTATTATCATTAAAAATCAAGGACTTTGTGCAATTAGGTCTAGTTCCCCATAATCAAAAAAGTTGGTTGCAAATTTAGCAAACTCTCTCTTCTCGTCTTGTTCTTCTCCCTCTACCTGTTTCTTTGTGTTTCCTTTTCTCTTTTATTTTCCACCTCGTGCTCTGGCTTATATCCGCACTATGGTACTTGATATTTCCAGTCTTTCCTTATGTCATGTTTATAATGGCAATGATGTGGGCAGAAGCAAATTGTCATGGGGAGACTGGCAGCGCTGTGGTCTCCGTATTTCGAGTATGGGAAGGTGAATGCTATGGTTGGTAGGGGCTCCCACTCCATACCTACCCCCACGCTTATCCAGAGGAAGGAACATTTTTCTGTGCGGGGGTGGCATTCATGTTGGAAGGGGATGGGTGATGATGTTATTTTTGTTCCCCACAAATGTGGATGTTTAAAATAGTGCTTTATTTAATCGGCATAAGTGACACATAGACTATGTATAGTGGTGAAATTAGGCCTGGCAGGTGATGAGGGCCAGATCTCACCAAAACCAAGAGTCGTGGTTCTCCACCGACAGCACCCAAGGATCTGTTCTGAGGGTGGCCAGCAGAGAAACTCCACCGTGGGGTGCCTGGCAAATTCCCTTGCACAACTACTGAATTATCAGAAATGGATGTAACTCAGAGCCAGTGAACTAGGACTTTGGCTTCATGTCCGTGGGGCATGCCAGCGGGTCACATTTCCTCTCTGAACCTCCCTCCAAGCCACACTGTACTCATGAAGGGTAAGTGTATTCCTTGTTCTTTTGTGCCTTTTGACTCCACGCCCTGCAGGTCTGGAATTCAGCCAGCGAAACTGAATCATGAGGCTGCAGCCCAGGCTATATTTAATTGAAGGTTTATTATCTTGCCACGGTTTTAGACGTTTAAGAAAAATTTTTTTTTTTTGAGATCGATTGGCCACTGTAGGGATTTGAAGTAGTGTTCGTTTTTGACCCCATGTGCTCCTTTTTAGTGACTATATGTCAAAGTATATTTAAAGTGTTACGTCTTAAGTCTTTGAAAATTACCCTTTTAATACTTCATGTCAACACAGTAAGAATTCTAGAAGGGCTTCGATTTTGAAACAAACAGATTATGTTTTATAGAGTGTAACTTTGGAGAAAGAGGGATGGAATATTTTATTCCTATGAAAAGTTTTATTACCAGAACTCATCTGATTTGAGATGAAAGAAAAAGAAAATGCATAGATTTGGAGGCAAGCAGAAAGCCTACCATATGTCTAGAAGAGAGTTTGAAATCTTTCTGGATCGTCCTGAATTTGTTTGGAACGCAACGCAGAATTTGGATTTTATGTAAGAACAAGGGGAAGAACCCATTTAATCAGACTTGGGAGTGAAAGATGGCAGTGGGTAAAGAATCCTTTCATGCCTGCTAGACATCTCTGTACTAGATTACATAGAGCATGTGGCTGGTTCGAGTGAGAACCCACATGGCCCCCTCCACCCTCAACCTTCTCTTGTCATCTCAACGCCTCTTCTCTCTGCCCTCAAGTGTGGTTTCGGTATGACTAGGGAATAGACACTAAAAATATTTCTGGAATGACGTGACCCACTCTTGCCCCATCCAGGAAAGGGACAAGGCTTCACAAGAAACAGCACATGCTTTCCTTTCATTTCTGGAAGTCCCTGGGTCGACCTACAGATGCTGCTCCTTCCGTGGCCGATGGCATTCAGACTCGTGGCTGCAGGCGGTGCCAGGCAAACAACTGGACAGAACAGCTCAGCCACAGGAAGGTGGCCACAGTCTCGGCCAGAGCAGCAGCCCCCGGGCCTCAGACCACCCCTGCCACCCCTGCCGGGAGCCTTCCCTCCTCCCTTGGGCTTGTCCCGGCCCCGCCACAGGGGCTGAAGAACCGGGAAGGGGTGGCAGCAACCGCAGTGGTGCCTCCAGCCTTGGGCCCGGGCCAGGCACGTGGGGCTCTGCTTAGGGCCACTCTGCAGCCCCTCCAGGGCCAGGGAGGGAGCCGGGCCAGCCCCGGCGCCGCTCACCACTGTCTCCTGCTGTCGCTGCAACTTGGGCTCGGGCTCGGGATGGAAGCCACCCCCGGGGAGCTGAGTCCGCAGGCCAGACTGCAGGAGGTGGGCGACCCGGGGAGCGGAGCTCAAGATAGCCAGGAGCTGAAGCAGCAGCTGCAGCCGCTGCTGCCGGGGCCACCGGCCTCCTCCCAGCGAGAGGCGAAATATGTGGAGATGTGTGCTTCGGCCGCAGCCCCGGGGGAGAGTCCCCGCACCAGGAGACTCGCCCTGCGGCCCCGCCCAGGGGAGCAGAGGGCCCCCAGGAGTCCCAAGGAGGAAGCCCAAGGGGAGCCCAGCGGTCAGGAGAGCGAGGCTCCGACCCCCCAGAAGAATCCTGCTGCCTCGGAACTCTGCAGATCCCAGCTCTCCCGCACTGATGAGGGCAGCAACTTCTCATCTTCCTCCTCCTCGACCTCCTCCCCAGTGGACAAAGCAGAAGAAGGTGGCCTTTCCAAGATGGATGATACCACCACATCAGCAGGGGCTCTGGCCACCTCGTCTTCATCTTTAGGCTTTGAGAGTGACAGTGGTCAGAGCGCAGTGAGCCGCCAGCCCAAGGGGGGAGGAGGAGAAGGGGGGGGAGAGGGAAGAGCAGGAGGAGGAGGGGCAGGAGGAGGGGGAGGAGGAGGGGGAGATGGAACTGAGTGCAGGGACATTATTGCCAAGTCTCAGGGCAGCCGGGACCCCCCAAAAAATGAGGAGGCTCACTACATCACCACCCACGAGATCCAGCTGAGTGAGGTGGAGCAGGACATGGATTTTGATGTGGGACTGGCCTCCCGCTGGGATTTCGAGGACAACAACGTGATCTACTCATTCGTGGACTACGCTTCCTTTGGTGGCAGCGACGAGACCCCGGGGGACATCACCACCCCGACCGAAGAGGATGACGACAACAGCTGCTACCTCAGCACCACTCCCAGCACCCATGCCACCCAGACTCCGAGCCCCACCAGCAGTGACCCGGCGCGCCCCAGCGCAGACAGCGGTGGTCGCCACACCAGCAGCACGGAAGTGGGCAGCGGCCCCTCTGACAGTGACCCCACTCCCCCACCCACTGGGCCTGGCACTGCCACCCTGAGTGAGCCCTTGCCCGAGCCCCCGGAGGCAGCTTCAGGGGCAGCAGCCGATGCAGCCAGCAGCTGTGGGAGTGCAGCAAGCCAGATCCTCCTATCAATCAAACCGACTTCCCGGGCTATAAATGAGCCTAGCAACGTGCGTGCAAAGCAAAACATTATTTATGCTGCCAAGCATGAAGGCGACATGAGCCTCCGCGTCTCTACAGCTGCTGAACACAATTCAAGTTCACTGAAGCAAGACCCGGCTGCAGCCGTGGCTCAGGACCATGCAAAGAAATTCATTGCTGTCCCTGCTCGCCTGCAAACCCGGTGCGGGGCCATTCGGGCGAAGGAGCTGGTGGACTACTCCAGCGGAGCCTCCAGTGCCGTGAGTGAACTGGACGATGCGGACAAGGAGGTACGGAACCTGACCTCCCGGGCCTTCCGGAGCCTGGCCTACCCCTACTTTGAGGCCCTGAACATCAGCTCCCGGGAGTCCTCCACACTCTCCGAAGTCGGCTTTGGGCGGTGGTCGACTTTCCTGGATTTAAAATGTGGAGGTGTTGGAGCCAGGGTGGAGCAGAGCCTCCTCAGGAGCAGTGCGGCCTCTGTGGCCGCAGGTCTGAGGAAGGGCGGTGGGGCCAGGACGGCCGCAAACCAGCTCTACATCCAGGCCAAGAAGTCCCAGACCAAAGCCTTGGAGTTCGTGGTCAGCAAAGTCGAGGGGGAAATCAAACACGTGGAGACACCTCTGTGTTTCCAGAAGCAGGTCCAGACGGGCTCCCGCGTGGTCACCCTTCTCGAGCCCCTGAATTTTCGCAGTGAGAGCAAAGCCAGCTCAGCCACTGGGCCCTGCAGAACCACCAAAGGCTCCAGCAAGGGCCCCGGGTCGGTGTACACGGACGACGGCTCCGAGGCCTCTGAGAGCAGCAAGCCTGCCTCCCGCGCCGACGGCCCCCAGAAGAAGTCCAAGTTTGCTTCCAGTCTGCTCAAAAATGTCATCTCCAAGAAGATGCAGCGGGAACATGAGTTCAAAATGGAGAGGGGAGAAGTCACTGACACATCCCACCATAACCTCTCCAGCACCGCCAAGGAGATAGAGGGTCCCGCCAGGGGGGAGAAGCAGCGGGAGAGGGGCCTGCAGAGGCAGAGTTCTCGCCACTCCGAGGCTGGCTCTGAGTACACGGTGGTCAGCGTGTCCGATGCAGGTGCGGAGGGCTCCGCGGCCGAGTCCAAATCGCCAATTTTCAAAGCCAGTGCTCCTCGCGAGTGCAATGCAGTCTCTGGCCGAAATTTCGCGGACGGACACACTGAAGAAGTCTGTGAAATTAAAAAGAGCGCATCGGAGACTGTCAAAGGCATCTTCCTGCGGAGTCAGAACAGTGCATTCCGCTCCTGGAAGGAGAAGGAGGCCGAGAAGCGGGAAGAAAAGGCCCCCATTGGGAAGCTGAAGCTTCCCAAAGGGGGCGACTGGAGAGCTGATCTTGGAGAGATCTCTGCCAGCAAGTCCACCATCATGTCGCGCCTCTTTGTCCCCAACATCCAGCAGACGCCCAAGGACAAGCAGCCGGGGAAGCAGGCCACCAAGTACCCTGCCGCCCAAGCCACCTCCACGGCAGTGATCCGGCCCAAGGCTCCCGAAATCAAGATCCGGCTGGGGAGCGTGCAACAGCCAAGCTCGGACTTCAACATTGCCAAATTGCTCACGCCCCAATTGGCCAGCGGCAGCGCCCCTAACCTCTTCAAGACCGCTGAGGACAACGGCAGGGCGCAGCAGAAGCTCTTCCGGGGAGACAACCTGGAAAAAGTGCCCCAGTTCCAGGTGAGAGACGTCAGAGACAAGTCCAAGGCCCAAGGCCCCCTCCACCAGGTGAGAGATGTCAGGAAACTAATCAAAGGGTCAGGGGACAGCAGTGACAAGGGCAGTGTTACCCCAGAGCAGGGGCTGACCGGGCCCAAGCCCAGACAGCTGGCTGCTGCAGGGGGCGGATCCAGATCCCTTTCCCCCATAGTGATTACGTGCCAGGCGGTGGTGAACCCGAGGGAAGGTAGCATGGACCGGGAGCCGAGGGAGAACGTAGGCAAAGGTGGCGGCGGCCGGTTCTTGAATTCGTCCTCTCCAGAAGGGACCGTCTTGGTTCACAGGGCATCTGGCAGGCTGCCCGTGGCCACCATTGCCCCCAATAAGCCCGAGCAGGGCTCTTACCTGCCTGTGCTCAAGATCGTCTCTAAGGCTTCTGCTCAGAAGACCCCAGAGAAGGCCAAGGAAGAGGAGGTCAAGGAGGAAGGGAAAGCCCCAAAGCCCTCTCGGAATGCCCTGGAGAAGCTGACGGCCGCCGTGAGGTCCATGGAGGAGCTGTACAGCTTCAACAGGAACGAGTGGAAGCGCAAAAGTGACCCTTTGCCCATGATGATGGACAGCCACGTCCTGTCGCTCATTGCCAGCGAGGAGAGGGAAGGGGCTGCGGGTGCGGAGGGGGACCCAGACAAGCTGGCCAAACGACTGGGTGAGCCGGCGGAGAGGGGCACCGGAAACAAAGGCGGCGTGGTGCTGCGTGGGGGCCCTGCGGAGCGTCTGCAGCGGAGAAACTCCAACCCTGGCACTGAGAGTGTGTCTGCCCGGGCAGCCGCCTTCGAGAACCTGGCCAGGGAAAGGCCGCGATCCCTCTACATCCCCCCGGCCCACAAGGATGTGGAGAGAACCCAGCCCCTGCAGCCCCTCCCACCACTCCCCAGCAACCGAAACGTGTTCACGGTGAGTGCCAGCAGCACCCAGAAAACTGGGGGTGTCGCCGGCAAGTTCCCCCAAGGGCCTTCTCCAGAGACTCCTTCAGCAGCAAAGGGCATCAAATCCCAGGGACTCCGGTCCCTCAAGATCTCTCCGGCCGCGCGGGCGCCTCCTGATGAGGTGACCAATAGGAAAAATGGCAGCAGTGTGGAAAAGAACCATAGTGACTGTGAGAATTACCTGTCCATCCCCCTCAAAGGAAGCTCTACGGCCGCCGGAGAGCTTCCAGGCAGGCCCGGGGCTGGGAGGGAGGGGCCCCCAGCCTCCTCAGCGGCCACTCTCTGCAGCTTGCCCCCCCTGAGTGCCCGCAGCCAGGTCCCCAGTAGTCCCAAAGGCTCTCAGGTCAGTGGAACCAGCCGGCCAGCTTGGCGTACCAAACCCGAGAACCCCAGGGAGACAGTTGCCGCCCCCACAGGGCCACAGAGCCCTGAGCATCTCCCCACTGCCATCTACCACCAGCCCCCGCTGCCCTTCACCCTGCAGGGAGCCCAGCCCCAGGTCCTGTGCTTCTCCCCACCCAGCATGCCTGCCCCAGCACCTGCAGGCCCAGCTTCAGTCCCCGCAGACCCCTTCCAGCAGCCACAGCCACAGCAGACCCAGCGCAAGATGCTTCTGGATGTGACGACTGGCCAGTACTATCTGGTAGACACACCAGTACAGCCCATGACCCGAAGACTGTTTGACCCTGAGACGGGGCAGTATGTGGATGTGCCCATGACCTCCCAGCAGCAGGCTGTGGCTCCCATGTCCCTCCCTGTGCCTCCCTTGGCCCTGAGTCCTGGGGCCTATGGACCCACCTACATGATCTACCCTGGGTTTCTGCCCACGGTGCTGCCCACCAATGCCCTGCAGCCCACGCCAATTGCTCACACTCCAGGGGGTAGCGAGCTCTCCTCCATGGCAGCAGAGCCCCCCAGCAAAGAGGCAGCTGCGACATTCACTGAGGCCCCGTACTTCATGGCCTCTGGTCAGTCTCCTGCTTCTTCTTCCTCCTCGGCCCCAGCAGCCACATCCCAGCTCGTGGGGGCCAAAGGCTTTGCCCAGCTGCATGGCAAGCCTGTCATCAGCATCACTTCGCAACCGCTGGGGCCGAGGATCATTGCCCCCCCTTCCTTTGATGGCACCACCATGAGCTTTGTGGTAGAACACAGATGATGAGCAGTCCCCAGAAAGCAGAACGGAGTAGCTGCTGGTGAGTGAATGTTACTTTGATAATCAGTTTTCAGGGATTAAGAGCAATCCTATTGTTTTGTGTTTGAAGTGGTAGGGGAGGCTGTCTGTCGAAAGGGGCATGTTGGGAGAACAGAACAAAACCCCATCCAAATGATTAAGGAGCTAGTTTTCTTACCAAGTTTCCTCTTCCCACTCCTCAATCCTCGCAGCAAGCCTTTCCCCCATTGACCTTTTCAAAACTGCCCCAGTGTTTTTCCAACCTGTGAGTAGGAGGGAAGTGAACCTTAGATCTGTCAGGTTAGCCTTTGGTGAAGGTTGGCAGGGGAAAGAAAGGAAAACCTGGTCTGGATTTTGTGGAGTGAGCTTCACTCTATTCCCAGCAGCCCCAGTGACAGAAGGCACGAATATCCTGAGAGATCACAGGGAACACCGTTAATCCACTTGCTCCTCACAAGGAGGGAGAATCACACTGACATTTTCTTGTTCGGAGGTTTTCTGAAATCTGTAGAAAGGCTTCTCTCTCCCTCCACCACATCTTCTTTCTCTTGACATTTCTTCTACGAAGGGACTGTATATTTTAAGCTCTTATTTTTGTTTCCAGACACTTAGAGTACTTTCTCCTAGGGCAAGTTCAAGGTCTTTAATATATCACACACACACGCGCGTGCGCACGCGCACACACACACACACACACACACACACTTGACCTCCATGAAAAAGGGGAGATCCTCCAGTTGCAGTGGTTCCTTGGATGGGCTGCTGGGTTTGATCCAGTCTGATTAGACTGAATCCACTATGCTGGGCTGCTAATCCCTGCAAGACACTCCTTTTCATCGCTGCATTCTCTCCCTTCAGAAAATAATCAACCTCCACTTGTCCCCCTTTAAAAGAAATCATATAAAGTAGATTCCTAACACCCGAATCAATCCACATTTACAGACTGGAATCCTTGCTGTAAATACAGCCATGGAACATGACAGGAGAAGTGAATTTGGCTTGTCTGACCCAGGACACTTCAGGTCAAACACATAAGACATGGGCCGCCTTCAGATAGGAGCACAAAGGTGTCAGCAGTGTGGGGACAGATCTGCCCCCTCATTTTCCTGTTCTTTTCAGATGAGGATGTGTTGGCATCATATATGCTTCTAGGACTTTCACTTTTCCGTAAGATCGTACTGAACCAAGAAGGGAGATGGAGTTCCTTTCTGAATTAAAAGGAACAGAAGAATATTGTTTCTTCGTGCAATGAAAGAGCCTTAAATTAAGAAGTGGGATCAGTGAATTAGAGTCATGGCTTGGTCTTCTCCCCAGCTGTGTCTTCTTGGGCATGCAAACTCTCTAGCACTCATGACACTCCTGTCAATAATATCTACTCCTCAAAATTTACCTGAATGTCAGATGACATCAGAGTATATTGCAAGGTATAAAACCTTTTCCAAATTCAGGGACTGTTACTATGCATTATGTTTGTTAGACTTCCAGACATTAGGCCACCGTTCAAAAATCCTTGGGTCTTGCTCTAAAAATTCAGATGAGAGCCCAAGCCTCATTTTCCTTGCACTCTAGAAATAGATAATTTGAATTCTTCCTCTCTAAGAGTTTGCAACCTGCGGTGTATGACAGTCACAAAGAGGGGGTGTGGGCATTCAAGGTAAACAATGCATCTTTTATTCAATGTAAAAAAACCAATAGGCATACGGAAGAGGCTCAGAATTAGACACTTAGTTTTGCAGAAAGAAAAGAGTAGCCTCTAGATAAAAATATTGTAATCATCCGGACAGGTGGTATGTTTACCTAAAGCTATTTTGGGGCAGCTAATCCCGTAAGGCCTTTGTGTGAACCATGGAGGTGCAGAAGCAAGGGGCAGAGAGGTCAGGGCACAGAGGAGGGAGCAACCGGGCACACACTTGTACGCTGTCCCTCTAGCAGCTGCTTTTCGCTTTTCTCCTGTCTGCCGAGTCTGGAGAGATTCGGCATGGAGTTGTTGCCATCAGACACAAATATAAATCCGGATTTTGAGGGTTCGAGATTTGAACGGTAATTTTTTTTTAAGTTTTCCCCTTTGAAAGCACAGTCTTTTATTTTAGTCCACAGCCCTAAAGATAGAAGTACAAAAGCTGCCTTCGCAGTTGAAGAACACTAGTCAGGATCTAACGATTAGAATTTTATATACAGGCAAAAATCTACTATCCAAACTCAGATAACTAACCAAAATCCTTCAAAACTCACCTTCCTGAGAGCTCTATGTCGCTTTCCAAAGAAAGATACATTAAAAAAAAAAAAGTGTGCTGTTCTTTCTCTTGTGTGCAAAATATTGTAAACTTTGGTCAGATATGTAAAAAAAATTACACTGTACACACTCATGATCAACGGATACTCGTATGGATGGTCAGGGTGAGAAGTCTTGGAAACTGGTTTCTGTTGAAGATTTCCGTTGAAAACCAGACTGACTTCAGAGATCTTCCTTGAGGTAGGGTAGGAGTTTAGGTGCCCCTTTCAACTAAGAAGTCACACCAGTAATTTGATCCAATCACAACATTTCACAGAGAAGAAAACTAGGACTCAGACTGGAATGGCTTTGCCACAATCCCCAGGGAATGAGATAAGCCAGGACCTGCAGAAGGGGCTCTTGGCTCCCGGGCCACACTGTGCACTCCTTGGTAGGAGGCCTGGAGCAAAGGAAGGATGGCAGAGAGCATAATGAGCTCTGTACTGACAGCCAGCACACTGGGGCTCTCCTCTGTGCATCTCCGCACATTTGTATAGAATGAATGTTTGAACGAAATGCGCTCATTCCCTCATGCATCCAAAGAACACGGATTACATGTTTACACTCCACCAGCCACGGTGTACTCTGCGGTGAGGCTGTTAACCCACGTGTGACCCGGTATGGTCCCCAGGCCAAGAGCCCACACGCCAGCAGGAGGACACAGACCCCTACACACAGAACTGCGAGACCAAGATTCAAGTCCTGTCGTAACCTTTAAGATTCCTTCCAGCTCAAATAATAAGTATTCCATCATCTATTTTTAGCTACACATTGTAACAGGGAGCTTTGCTTTCTCCCTGCCGTGTATTTCTGAGCATAACCAGCTGCCATGCTCTCTCTCTGATGATTAGGTTATGAATTTCCCTTTGGTTCAGCTTTCACAGGTGGGTCTTGCTGCTTCTCCCCTTCCTGGGGTCCAGGTGGTGGCATTCCCCAAACTTTGCCAGGTCATAGCCCAGCTAAGAAGATAATTAGCGATATTATTTGCTTTATCCTTCCTTAGTAACGACGTCACACATTGTGGTCAATGGATGGGGCAGTTCACAGCCCGTGACCCAGCGACTGGTAGTCACAATGGTACCCCGGGCGCGACGTGCCAGTGTGCTAGGCGCACCGGTTTATCGTTTGTTGACTTTTGGGTTGAAAGTCCCTTTTCCACAGGGTCTTTGATGCCTTTTCTGATGGGATTATTTTTGGTTGAGTTTTCTGTCATTCAACACACGTAGCTGTATTTTTCCTTCCCCAACATGCTTTTTCCGGCCCACGCACTTCGATGCCATATTTTTGTTTTAAAACGTTCACTGAGACTTGATCACAAATGCCATTTGCAGGGACATAAAGATAAAATAAATATGTAATAATAACAAAAGAAAACTATTTTTTAAAATTTTATTTATTTATTTGAGAGAGAGAGCACACAAGCAGGGGGAGGGGCAGAGGGAGAGGGAGAAAGAGGCTCCCCACTGACCCAAGCCAAAGTCAGCCGCCCAAACGACTGAGCCACCCAGGCGCCCCAAAAGAAAACTTTAATGGGCACCACGCCCGCGCCATGGCAGGTCACGCAATTGTTTTGTTTCACTGAATGTCTGGTCTTTTTCCCTGTAAGTCTTGATCCATTTGTCTTTTCATTTCTGAGTGTGCTTTAGGTTGCTCCTACACATTGGTCTCTCTTTCCTCCTCGCTTCCTCCAGGTTCTTTCTGCCCCCTCAACGGAGCCCCACACAGCAGCAGCTAAGTGGAAAGAGAGTGGGGCTGGGAGCAGAGGCAGCCCTCCAGGGCTCCTCAGATCATCAAACCCTGTCCCTTGCATTCAAATGGGAGGAGGGGGGGGGGTGGGGGGTTGGGGTAACCAGGGGATGGGCATTAGTGACGCCATGAGCACTGGGTACTAAAGGCAACTGATGAATCATTGAACACTACATCAAAAAGTAATGATGTACTATATGCTGGCTTATTGAATTTAAATAAAAATAAATAAAACAAAATAAAATAAAATAAAATAAAATAAAATAAAATAAAATTGCAGGAGGAAATTGGGGCTCAGAGAGCTTAAGTGACGCTTTTTACATCATAGTTTTTCCCTGAGGACAGAGTTGGGACTTGAAACCCGAATTATTCTCTACCAGAATCTCTTCCCAGCTGGTTTCTTTCCTGCTCTTCATGTCACCTCCTCTTTTTCTCTCTAAGGCCACTCTGCTTTGGTGGCCCTCCTTCCTGGTGTCTGTCCCACCCGTTCACTCCCCATTCCTGTCTTCCCTGACCATTGGTTTGAGAATTTAATTTTTACTGGTTTTTTTTTTTTTTTGCTTTTTTGTTTGGTAATTTCATTCCTTTTTATGGTCTCTGTTTTCCCATTCACTTTCGGTTGCTTTAATGTGAGGCTCCACCTTGCTTCTTCCCCTCTGCTCACCTTTTCCTGCATGTGTTTGTTTTCATCACCCACGGGACGGCCCGCGGGACAGGTGCCCCCTGCCTGGCTGCCTCACTGGACATTCCCGTGGCTTCCTGCAGGAGGCCAGGTGGAAGGAAGGGCTGCAGGCTGCAAGCGTAACGCTTCATCTGTAGTGCATCCTAGAATTACATTCCTGAATTAGTTTGTTTATTTCTGTTTTTCCCCTCACTTAGCTGTGGCTTTCTCTCTCAGTTATTATCTATAGCTGCTCTTTTATTATCTTCCTAATGTCTTTTTCACCTTTTCTCCCTCTTTCCTTTC